CTTGAATGTATGCAATAGGCTCATGTCAATATAAACATACATTCCTCAGTACTAGTGTTTTGCTTTGCCCAATTGCTTCCAGTAGGTGGTTCTTTTCCATTCAGCATCTTTATCCTGGCGGTTTCGAGTATGGCACCTAACAGATCGATAGTTATATATGACATAGAACTCTTATCTCTCTGGCTACGTTTGATATCCTAACACCAATAACTCGAAGAAGCTTTGTACTCACCGATCATCAATGGCCTTCTATTGAGCTGAATTCTGTTTAGGTCCAGCATTTCTACTGACCGATAGTTAATGAACGAATACATCAGAAGTAGAAAGCTAGGTTTCTTAGCATTGTAACAACACAGAATTTTCATAATTCACTAAAACAGGTTTGTTGTTAACATCTTAGTCGTAGCTTTTTGGTTATAAGTTCCATGGTTATCTGATTGCGATAGTATATACATTTATTTAACAAATGGCAGGCGTTTTGATAGTTATCATTAGCCCTCTAGTTTACTTCAGGCTTCACAGAGGGGAAGGAACATCAGATTGAAAAAAGTCGAGAGGGGGGAACGTAGAGTGTTTCAAAGATGTAAGTGATAAATACAAAGGTAGAAAAGGGTGAGTTAAGTACTGTGAAAATAGTCGAATATGGCATAGAGTGAGGTGATGGTAGTTTGAAGTGAGAAGTCAACATCCGGTTAATAGACTTTGTTGTCGTATGAATATACGTTGTCCAGAGTGCACCACGTGGAGGTAAGTCTATCGTACAATGGGTGACAAGTTGCGAGCACGCCAGGAAATCTGGAAGAATGCTGGAGTGTTTGTGAACTTATCGACTGTGTGGTTTCCACTAAGCTATCAATCTTCTCCATCCAATAAAGTGGTGAGCATGTGAGAAAAAGTCCGTTGAAGAGCTTTATGCTGTTCTGTGAGATGGTTCGTAGATTTAAGAAAATGCAAGGTTATGTCTGGTGGAAAGCGCATGCAATGTAACACACAGGTCCTAGGTGGTGCATTTATGCTCTGTATTTTTTGTTAGACCTAACTGCAGATTATAGACAGGCCGATTTGAACCTACTCAGATTATCATTGACACTTATCCCTTAGTTGGGAAGAGAATTACCACTAACTTGAGAAAATTTTAACTTATTACATTTTACGGATGTAATCACGTCTCCCCCCAGTTTTAATCCTTTTGAGTTCAAACCTGCTGTAATAGGTAAGAACAATGATCCACTTAAAATCTGATGGATAGTAGCCCGTACAACGAAGATAAGACAAGGGTTAAAGCGGCAGTGCTTATAGTTTGTCTCCAGACAAGATGATGGTGACAGTTCAAGTTAAAAAATTTACATCGGGCAGCCAGCATATTAATCACCAGATCTTAGACAAGTTTATTTTTACATTGTCTTTATATAGTTAATTTAGTGACTTGACCAACTAGGTGTTAGTCTTATCTCCCTCCTCTCATCCCCACCAAACCCCACCCTCTGGAGACTGAGTCAACTGTCGTCCAGCCATATCTAATAGGCAGGTTGATTTTATCGGAAAAACTGGGTTTACTGTGTATGAGTTTAAAAATTTACGAAGTCTTTCTTTGACCAAAAAACAAAGCTACATTTGTTGAGACTGAATATATTGATAGATGGTGTCCAAAAGGCGATTCGATTTCAGGTGATTGAAGAAATAAGAATTCACTTGTCACTTGAAGAAATGGCTCAATCAAGCTTTCACGAAATTTTTTTCCAATATTGATGGGTATTAAATGTAGAATATGATAGAACTTTCGTAAAGGGAAAATATCTAATAATTATTGATAATTACAATTTTTTAACTTGATAAACCTGAATTTGGAATTGGGTGGAGAAAGAGACTTTTCTGGTCTATTAAGCAGGATTTCTATTTGGTCATTGATGGAGTGTCCCACAACCTATACAGTACGTGATAGACGAATATCTGCTGGATATGAACGTGGTGATTAATTCCGATGTTAATATAGGGCCAATTTGTCTCTTATTTTCATCGAGCCATTCTTCATTGTAAATTTTAGTTTTTTACTGACACCGATTAGAAATATCTTCAGCATTCTCATTTAGGCTAATTTTGGTCCATTAAGTTAACAAACAATAGGGAGGATGATCACACTATTCTTCTACAACTTCTCAATGTTCTCTCATCAATAATGGCGAATTGCATTTAATCGAGAAGATTCTTCAAGCGCAGTCCTACTCATAATTTGGTCCACATACTACTAATGACTACTTGAATAACTACAACGTCTTCACATACCGAAACGGTTTTGACATTTAAAGCTTGTTTAAGTGCAGTGGTCCTATTACATCCGGGCATCTACAACATGAAGACAACTCTTTAGCTTAAAGAAAGTAACGGTATGAGAGTCTTATATAACAACTCTCTTCCGAGGTTGAATGCAACGTAGCCAAATGGCTAAATCCATAGCATAAAATGATTATTTATTGTCGCATTTAGTTATATTAATGAACAGAAAAAGGGTTGCGAGATTTCATATTTGCCTCCTATCATCAAATTAGCAAAATATTTGTTTTAACATTTTCATTCAAGGTGAAAGAATATTCAGATTTTCAGTTCTATTAAAATCATCACCATTCGCTTTGTCCCTATACGGTTTGGTTTGATTAAAGCAACCTCCATCCCTCTCCCACCCCCAACCCCCCCCCCCCCCTATCAACAGATAAATGTGCATACGCATCTATTCATACATTCTGCGTTTCACTCTTCGCTTGTAGATAAGCTAACTGATCAGTGACACTCTCTCCACCATCCTCTTGTTAGACGTAAACTAAGGAAGATAAGATGGCAACTCTACTAGACTTAATTTTCACCTAAATAATTAACTCCATCTGAAATCCAAAAATCGCCAATTAATGCTGTCTTTCATTTAAAAGTGCCTATCACTAGAACTTATTTATTTATTTATTTCAGATGGCAGGCTTTATGATATTTATCATTAGCCCTTAATCTTTGACTTCAGCTTCCCCCAAGAGGGGGGGGGTACATTTATAGCAGTTAATAGCAATTCATTAGCTGTCTTCTTGCTTCCCAGTATCTTTGGCTTTCCGTCCTTGTCTTTAGAGCTGGGCACCGAATCAGGTGGGTCTTCTCCATTTCCTCATGTAGGTTACGTAGAGGGCATGTGGGTTGAGTGTATACTCCCAATCTGTGAAGGTGTTTTGCCAAGCAATCGTGTCCGGTACGTAGTCTAAACTCAGCAACAGCTTCGATTCTTGGCCAGTCGGCTATGTCGGAGAGTGCCACTGTCCACCGTTTCTCCTTTGTTCGAGCTTTAAGTTCATTGCACCTTGAGGTCTGGAATTCTCTCCTGATTATGCCTTCATTGTGTGGAAAGACATCGACCGGTCCATGCATTGCAAAATCGTTGTCCTCTTCTTAGCAAGTGTGTCAGCAAGCTCATTGCCTTTAATGCCACAGTGACCAGGAATCCATTGTAGGACCACTGTTTTGTTTTTCTCTCTCAGCAGCCCATAGAGTTTTCTACATTCCTTTATCTCAGCTGTTTTGGGTGTCTCTCTGTTTCCAATAAAGTCTATTGCTGACTGTGAGTCCGAAAGTATCACCGCTTTGGTGAATTTCGTATCCAGGCAACATAATTGGCATAGTGCTATCCTAATGGCCTCTATTTCTCCTTCAATAGCGGATCTATTGTGTCCCGAGTGCTGCGTAGAAAGCGAAGATTTCAGAATAGACACCTGCACCAACGTTTGCTTGGCTTTCTATGTATGACCCATCAGTGAAGACTTGGAGCCATTGATCTCCAGGATAGTTGACGTTGATTGTCTCAAGGGCCAGTGAGCGCATTTGCTTGGGAGGAGTGTTTGATTTCCTGAAGAAGTCGAGCAGTTGAGTGCGACACACTACATCAGTGTCTGCTAATGGGTTCATGGGGAGAGAGAGGCTTTTTGGTTTATCATCGATTTGTAACGCTTTCTTCAGTTCTATGGCTTTCTGTATTAGACCAGATTGCGTTTTCAGATGTCTTGGTCTATTCTCATAGGTGCTGAAGAATTTGTCCATGGGAATGCGCAGTAGTTTCTCATACAGGATCAAGGCCTTTTCTTTGATAAGGGAGCCTATTGTGGTGTTTCCTGTAACTTGGAGCATTGCATCAATGGGTGTTGATTTTATCCCTCCAGTAATTAGTCGTAATGCTTGGTTGTGTGCCTTCTCGAGGGGTTTGAGGGTCACCTCTGTAGCTGTAATGAGTGGCTCACNTGTCTTCCTTAATTTCACCAAACTGTCTTACTTGTATCTTTAAATCTCTTGAAGATTTTCTGACAAAAGGGTTTTTCTTTTGCTTGTGGGAATAGAACTTCGCAAAGCAGTTAGCTATTTCGTTGTCGGTGGTAAGCAATTTGCTGTTTAAGCGTATTGGTTCTTTCTTGGGTCTTTCTCTGTTGTTTTGGAGGTTTCTCAGAAATTTGAAAGTGCGTTGGCTATCACTTTGATAGTTGATATTTGAGATGAACTTGTCGAAAGAAGTGCGTTTAGCTTGTCAGATGGCTTGCCTTAGGACAGCTGATTGTCGTCTCCAGGCTTTTACGTCTTCCGTTCTTCCAGTCAGATCAGCAGTGTTGCGAAGGGCGTCCCTCTTTCTTTTCAGTTCCTCAAGGTGTTTAGACCAAAACACTCGATAGTGTTTAGTTTTGCCTCGGGGAATAGTTTTCTTTGCACATCTGATCATAATTTTCGTGATAGCAGTGCAAAGTTTGTCAGGATGTTGGTTGAAGTTGAGGGGACTTGAATGAAGTTCATCCTCTAAAAGGTTTGTGAATCTAGGCCAGTCAGCCTTCTTGAAGTTCCATGATAGCTTAGTTGGCACTTTCCTTGATATGCTTTTGCTGCCGATGGTAATACTAGCAATGACTGGTTTGTGACCAGAACCAGGATCGTCAATTATTTTGCGGTGTGTATGCTCACTGATGTCGCTTGAAGCCAAGAGTAAATCAGGAGTTGTTCTGGATCCATTGTAGTGCAAATATGTAGCCGGATCCTCATTGCTATAAATAAGTTCCAGAATGTTGCTGTTTAGCATGTCTTCAATTTTTAACTATCACTAGAACTTATGTTTAGCACAACGCTGGTATAGCTGAGACAAAGAAGTCTTTGTGCCTTCGAACATTCTGGAACGTTTGTTGGGATGTTAATCGCATTTGGCTACAAATGAGGTCATGAGTGCGGAGACTTCTCATACAATCAACAATCAATAACAATGGCATATTCAATGCATCCGAAATTGTGTTTTCTGACCAAGCCCCTTGTCTGTAAAAGACGCAACCCAAATTAAACGTGCTCCATATCATCTGTCTGTTTTCTCTATATTGTTGATGTAGGAGAGCTTGACTTAGAGATTAATGGGCGCAAGTCATGGCTACTTGCAAAATGTTTTGTTAACTTTATTGGCCTCCAACATGTTGACTACTCATTGTTTAGTTACGAAATGTGTTCTTCATGCCTCCTATAATAATTTTACTAATAGGAAGGTAGCACAAATGTAATAAAGCAGAGAGTATCTCAGTGGATGAGTAAGTGTTGTCCTGGGTAATTAAAGTGATTAATATTAGCCAAAAAGAAGGACGCAAAGGAGAATGCAACATGCGGGACAAAGTCACGCATATGACTGAATTAACACAGGAATAGAGACAAACACAGAAGCAGCAAGAACAACTAACTATTTAAAGCTAATGCGTTTTGAAATTTATTATGTGAAGGTGTCGAAACCAAGCAATTCCACACTCATTCTCTTTTTATGTAGACTTGCAGTTCTCGATCATGTGCAAAACACGTGATTATGTCATGGCTGAAGAAAAGAAGAAGCGCCGGTGTGCTCAAACATTCCGGAACGTTGAGGGTGCGATGCTAATCACACCAGGGAGCGAGTGAGGTCTCTAGTGCAGAGACCTCTCGACCACTTAATAGCCAATAGCGATTACGGAGTTATCCTACAAAAATAGTATTTAATACTTTTGTACAATGTCATCAACGTATGACCAATACACACACACACTCACACCCAACAAACGGACAGTCCCCAATACTACTGATGTATGGTCGCTAGCCCAGGAAGCCATTTGAAAATTAGGCGAACTTGGCATAGAGATTAATGAGTTTAAATCAAGGCTTATAAGTGCAGTAATCCTCTTCAAACTCGAATCTCTATTTGTTTCTTGAATCATCAAAAACTAGTGTAAACTGGTTTTCAAAAAAATAAGGGAGCACTGCATCGACTGTTATTAACGGACTTTCGAATTTTCTTATAACTACATTGTCCCGCATTTTGCTATCCAGCTCGAAGCTTCCCGATTTTCGAAGAATGCTAGCAACCGCAAGAAGTTTTAGCTGGTCTTTAAGATATGGATGGAAGATTATGAGGGCTGAGCACTTGGAAGGTCGAAAGAGGGATGGGTGTAACCAAATTGTTTTGAGAATAAGCCGACTGTTCTTTTCTACGATTTTCAAAGTAATGTAGAAATTGTGCTAATTTTAATTTTAATTTGTGGCATCTTAATTTATTTACCCCAAGCACACTCAGCTCTGAGGTCATTTTTCATCAACACAGGCTATTTCATGAGGTCGCACTAAACCATGGTTCTCTCTCACTTAATATGCTTTAATAACTTTCTTACGTTTGATCTGCCCTTCAAGATATCCGCCTCCATGGCGCAGGTAGCAGATCTCTATTTTGTAACAGAGGTTCCCTGAACGAAATGGGGTAAATGACGGGCACATGAAATGGTAGTAAAATCAACTGGCTCCTGCCCTGCGTCAATGGGCTCGAGAGGGGACGAAAGAAATCAAATGCAGTGGACTTTTAGAGGAGGAGGAGGAGGAGGGGGAGGAGATATTTTTTGTTGGGTCAGAAGGCGTAATATGAGAAGTAAAGGTTTCAGGTCATAGTTTATTATATTGATCTGAGACATAACCGGAATCATTCCGATTCCACTCAAGTGGTTAAATCACACTAACGATAATAAACTATTTGAGGACGCACAATGCTTTGGTACGAGAGACTGAGGTCACACCCTCAAATTAGTTCCTGCTGTTGACTGTTCACAATTCTTGAAGTTATGCGACGAGCCAATAAATTTTTATAGCTGCACAATGCATAATGGAATTTAATTCGTAAAAAGTCAATGCATCTAGCCACTAAATAAAGGATCAGTTAATCAGGTTAATATATGAACGATGGCTGTTTTTATCCGTCTTGCCACATGTATGAAAGGTATTAAAACTACCGCGTGAAATACTGCAACACTACCAAATGTAAGAAACAGATGTATAATTCGCTAATCTAAAGTGCATTTACCAATCAGCTGTGGCAGTCGCATTTACAATGGGAGTAGAAGGGAGTGGGGAAATTCGCCTACTCCTGGTAGTAATCACATCGCATAAATCCTTAAATTGAATGAAGAAATCTTTCTATGTGGTTGCAAGTGATTCGTTTATATTTTCAGCGTGCATTTTACAAAATACATTAAATGAACAACAGATCAAAAATAGTTTAAGTAATAGATAAGAATTATAAAAAAACATGGGTTGTTTTAGTTGCAACTTGTGTCGAACTCGATATTCTGTAAACTGTCATGGTACAGGATTTCGACGCTGTTGTGGTTGTCGTTCCCGCCGCTGTCGTGGGTGTCGTAATAGTCGTTGACGCGGAGGTCGTCTTCGCCGAAGGAGTCGCCACTGTGATTGCAGTTGGATTCGTCGTTGTCGTCGCAGTCTTCGTATGAGTCGTTTACGTGATTTTCGAAGGCGTCGCAGTCGAAGGAATCGTTGTCCCGGTTGCAATCTGAGTGGTTGAGGTATGAGATTTAGCTGTGTATTCATACCCAAGGTACAAGTACGCAGGAGATGTACTACTTAGAGGGGAGATTACTTAGATTTGTGTGCATAGGAAATATATTGTGGAGTTCTGATTTGTTAATACAGATGTCGAACGCTGGTTGGATTATGGTAACAGCATGCACATCTGTGATTGGTCGATAGGCAAGCGTTTTGGTAGTCGAACTTTTCGAAATGTACGTTTTTGCAACTGATGATCTGGTTAGAGCTTTCTAGGATGTATTAATATACGTGGTTAAGTCATATTAATTAAGTTATTACGAAAGCATCTTTATTGGTGTGAGTGCATGTATTTATTGATTAATAATCATCTTAAGAGTACTGACCAATTTACAAGCCAAGGAATGAAGTGAAGAGTGCACTTATTCTTATGATTGGCGAACATGGCTTATTAGCTTAATGCAGTGTTACAATCAACTGAATTTAAATTGCGAAATTTAAGTAAAGCATATGTAGAGTAAAAATTAACTTTTCACTATTGGGTAAATTTGAAAAGTTTAACTGCATTTGAAATGACTAAATAGCAGGTGTTGCACAGTCTTGTAGCATTACTTAGCCATAAACAACCAACCAAAGTCAATTTTGAGAAGTGCGCAATTGTTGTTTGCTTTGGACGATTCATTCTCCTGCCCTTCCTACGAGTACTACTTCGACAACAAAATTGAAAAGATGGTGTACATATTGTCATTGCTAACAAAATGTCCATCATTTGGCTTGATCATTCTATCTTGTCATTAAAAATGGTTGACTCTCTTCTAAAATAGTGTGATTCTACAATAAAGTTAGCTATTTGAAAAGATGCCGGATTAGATGTGTAAAGCAGATCAAATGCTATTAAGATTAAAAAGGCTTAGACAACAGTTACTACCACGCCTTTTAAGGAAAAAACAGCAAAAGTTAAGACGGAGATTTTCAAAAAAGGTGCTTTAGTGAATTATGACAGGGCTTTCTACTTCTGATGCATTCGTTCATTAACTATCGCTCAGTAGAAATGCTGGACCTAAACAGAATTCAGCTCAATAGAAGGCCATTGATAATCGGTGAGTACAAAGCTTCTTCGAGTTATTGGTGTTAGGATATCAAACGTAGCCAGAGAGATAAGAGTTCTATGTCATATATAACTATCGATCTGTTAGGTGCCATACTCGAAACCGCCAGGATAAAGATGCTGAATGGAAAAGAATCACCTACTGGAAGCAATTGGGCAAAGCAAAACACCAGTACTGAAGAAAGTATGTTTATATTGACATGAGCCTATTGCATACATTCAAGAAATGTTCAAATACACTTCCAGCGAGTGCCACGCTTCAGGAAACTGGGTAATTGGGACGGTAATGTGACTGGAAGCAGCAAGATAGTACACGACTCTTGGCAAGAAGTCTATCGCGAACACTCTTGGAGAGCCTGAAGAAGTGCTGGCATGGATTGCAAAGCTTTCCAAAGAACCAGTCAATGTACTCTCCCTCGAAGCTGGCCAACATGTCTCCGAAGGTGTCCACATTCTCCATAAAGTA